GCCTCTTCTTTTTTAAAATTTTTTTTATTCTGGGATTTATTTACCTTCTATAATTGAGACTTTGTAGCCTTGAGTGGAGCTCAGAGCCGGCCAGGGCAGGCGGGAAGCTTGGCTTCCTCCATTGCCAGGGGCAACCCATGCCTCCTGCTTGCTCTAGGCTCCGTGGCCATGGCTGGCTGAAAGCAGGTATCTGGGGTTTATTTATCTTCTATAATTGAAACGTTGTTGCCTTGAGTGGAGCTCAGAGCTGGCCGCAGCAGGCGGAAAGTTTGGCTTCCTCCTACACTGAGCAACCAAGCCTCCTGCTCGCTCCAGCTCTGTGGCTGCCGGCCGTCATCTTGGTTGGGTTAATTTGCATATAGTTGCTCTGATTGGCGGGTGGGCATGGCTTAAGGTGTAGCAAAGGTATGGTCAATTTGCATGTTTGTCTTTTATTATTGTGGATATTAGAGTAAAAGGCAATAAAATAATCAAATTTTTATTTTCCATGCTGTGGAAATAGCTCAGGGGTTATTAATTAACATATATATGAAAGTTACACTTTGGCATGTTAAGTCAATTCTGACTCTTGGAAATCTTGCATGATACCATTACACCAGTGGCGCCACTAATTCTGACTGTTGGTACAACGTGTATGAGTGGGTTATTCAAAAGTCAATTAGAGCCCTGACCCTGGAGTTGGGGATGTGGTAGACATGAGCAGAGCAAGGATGATGGGCCAGGTATAGAAGTTCCCCTGGGCAGAAATCCCCAGGTATCTGGCAATGGGCAAAACTAGGAAAACAAGGACCTGCCTCAGGGTGACCTTTCCTCCCCTGGAGTGTCTCTGGTCACAGGTTTAGACTCCCTGACCCTTCACATTGATGGTCATGCGGTTCGGACCCTCCCCTGACCTTTCTCTCCTGGCATGCCGCTAGCCATGTGATAGACCCCCTTAGAGGAGGGACAAAGGGCTGAAGAGTGGCCTCATTCGACTCCCATGCAGGGCCTTGCACAACCACTCCCTGAAGCACTAACTCCTTAGTGATAATGTCTAGGCCTCAGTTGCATGCCAGGGCTGACATCAGGACCAGCTGCAAGGATTAATGGTCCCCTGCTCTGAATCCCACCAATCAGTGGAGACCACAGCCCTGAAAGGACACACCTGGAAAGCTGATGAATATTCTATTGAGATCTGTTGCTAAGACCTCCCCTCAGATCTCCACCTTTAAAACCCTCAAGACAGAGCACCTAGCTCATTCTTTTGCTCCCTAGAGCATGCCCACTGGAGTCTTTTTTAAGTGTACTTTGCTTTCTTTCTCTTGATTTTCAAGGGCCCTTCTTTTGCTTCTCTGCCTTGTTTCCTGAGCCCAGTTCTTCTAAAGCTCACATCATTTACCTCTATAACTTTCTAAAGAAGCTTTCTCTTATAAAAAAAAAACACACCAAAAAGTGAGGTTACAGGTTCTATCCCCAGCCCTATTTGGGGCATGTGCAAGGGCAACCGATTGATGTTTTGCTCTCACATGGATGTTTTTCTCTCCCTTTCCCACTCTCTAAAAAACAAAACAAAACAAAACAAGTTGAAAGTACTAATGTCAAAGATTGTCTAAATGTGTGTGTTTTGATCAAAATTTGGACCATGCTCTATTTAGGTCTCCCCTCCTGGTTTAGTTTAGTATTCTTTTATTTCCCATGTCATAAACGATGAGCCTTTTTCCTTGCCATTAAAGGATTTGAAAATATGATTTTCTTAGTTGCATAATATGTCATCATTACTTTGCTTAAACATTTCCCAGATGCTCATTTTCTTTTGAGGAAACCCAATAAAGTCCCTTGTAAATGGAATCCTCTCCCCTCCCCCCACCTCATTTGACTCCCATGAGGGTGTGGCTCAGTGGTTGAACCAGGGGGTCTGGATTCCATTCCTGGTCAGGGCATGTGTTTGGGTTGTGGACTCCATCCCCGGTGGGGTTGTGTGCGGGTTGATTTCTCTCTCTCATCGATGCATCTATCTCTCTATCCCTCTCCCTTCCTCTCTCTCTCAAATTAATAAAAACATTAAAAAAAGAATAAAAGAAACAAGAAAAAAATTAAATGGGAACCTCCCTTGTTACATTTATAATACTAGGTTACTAAAGTTTCAGAGGCATAATTCTAATAGGCTTCTTTCACTTGTGGAGGTCAGGGTGGCGGAAATAAAAACATTTAGAAAGAAGCTAAAGGCAACCAGATGTAGTTTTCTTATTAGAGGATAGAAAGGGGTTCCAAAGAATTTTCACTTTGGCTTTCTATGAGTTTTAATGTTATGCTCCTATTAAAGGACTTCTAGAGTGTTCAGGTCTGGAGACGTGATTTGATTCACAGCAAGGTCACAGTAGCCCATGTTTTTAACTTCCCAAAGACATATGGGGAGCCATATTAAATCTTGGGCCTGTGCTTTCTGGGTCCCCTGACTATTTTTGTGTGCACCTGAATAGATATTAAAACGTAATAAAGCAGAATCCCACCTTCTGTAGCCTCAGTGGATTCATGTCTTCTGTACCCCATAGGTGCTTTGGCCATTTACGTTTGGTGTATTCTGTGACCCTTCCCCGCTAGGCTCAGTCCAGGAGGTGGCTCAGCTCCGGCTCCAGCTGCAGCAAGCGCAGAAGGCACATGCTATGAGTGAAAGCATGAACAGGGCTTTGCAGGTGAGCATGGCCCCTTGGAAGAGACGGTGGGTGGCTGGATTACATCACTTTTCTGAACCTTGGATTTCTCTACATCAAAAAGGCAGTGGACCATCTCCAGAGCAGCCCGTCAGAGTTGTTCACAGGCTCGCCCCTATGGCTGGGGAGTCAAGCCCAGGGGGCCTGTCTCTGTGTGTGCCCCAGAGAAAAGGTTGTCTACAGGCGTGAAAACCTACAGCGCAGCTGGGGTGCTATCACCTCCTCCTCCGGCGCCGCTGACATTTCCTGCTGGAGGTAGCGGTCCCGGAGACCCTCCACTGGAGAGAGGTGGTTTGCCTTTTCGCTGCTGGCAGACCATGAAGGACAGCTGTTGCTGGGAAACCAGTCTACTCTGTCTCCTGCTCTAGCGAGCCAAAAAGTGCTGCCACCGGTACCTCAGCTCCAGGGGTACTTTTCATGGAAGAGAACAAAATGTGAGGGAGGTGTGAGAGAACCAACTTGCATGTTCTTCCTCCTGTATTCATTCCTCCATTCAGTTTGCTGGAAAACCTGATCCGTGCTGGCCTTTGTAAAGTTCTAGTTAATGTGTGCTAACATGTATTTGAAGAAGCGTTTCTGCCTTCTCTTGACCATTAAAATGAATCTGAAGCATAGACAAAATGCCTGATTCCTTCTTATAGGAAAATCATGAAAATAACTTTTAATAATTTTGTGTTGTAGGAAGAATTGACAGAACTAAAAGATGAAATTTCTCTCTATGAATCTGCTGCAAGACTAGGTATACTTCCAAGTGACTCAGAAGGAGAATTAAACGCAGAACTCATGGAATCATACATGGATTTGGGTATTAAAAAAGCCAACTGGAAGAAATCCGAAGTTAAGAGGTATGGAGAAAATAGTTTACTGTAGAAAAGTCTACATTATTAGTGCTGATGAGGCTTGGTAAACAACTGACACCAGGCATGAGCTGATGAGCTGACCAGAGGTTGCAGTATGTTTTAGTAATGGGATCATTACATCCCTTCCAACCCATTGTGCTCCCAAGTGTAAACGCCTGATATCAAAATGAACAGAAACCTCAAGAACTGATATTGCGCTATCTGCAGCACCAATAGGCACATCAGTTTTAGTAAGGTAAAAAAATGACTAGCTAAAATATACAAAGTAAATTCTACAATTGAGGTTATGGATCTGTTTTATTATTAAGGCGAAGCATATTATTTTTATTATATTAACACTGTTGAAGGCAGGCATCTGGCATTTATCAGTAGTATATGAGAAAATAAGCATTAATTTTCCCTAGGAACCTTACTGTGGCCTTACTTTTAAAATAGGGATTTCTTCTTAAAATAGGGATTTTTAAAAAAATATATTTTTATTGATTTTTTACGGAGAGGAAGGGAGAGAGATAGAGAGTTAGAAACGTCAATGAGAGAGAAACATCGATCAGCTGCCTCCTGCACACACCACACTGGGGATGTGCCTGCAACCAAGGTACATGCCCTTGACTGGAATCGAACCTGGGACCCTTCAGTCCACAGGCCGACGCTCTATCCACCGAGCCAAACCGGCCAGGGCTTAAAATAGGGATTTTTAACACAGCTATTTTAGCTGTTCTATGGAAGGGGCTGTTTTATTGTCCCTCCCTGGAACTGACGGGGGAGGACATGGTAATGTTAGAGGAGGGAGTATATTTAGGAATCATTAAACACTTAAAAGATGAATGGAGGAGAGGATGCACATTTGTGAAGCACTTGCTTTCTGCTGGAGGCAGCTGGTCGATGTTTCTCTCTCATCGATGTTTCTGGCTCTCTATCTCTCTCCCTTCCTCTCTGTGAAAAATCAATAAAATATATTTAAAAAAAAATATAAAAGGTCCTTGATCCACATCTCAACCTTGAGAAAAGGGTCAGATCCGTTATCAGTCATCACATTAGAATTGGGAAAATCAGAGCTCAAAGAGCTAAACTCTTCTGCCCAAGAAAGTGGACCATTATCAGCAGAGCCAGTACTTGAACCCCAAACTTCACTGTCACGTAAACCTGCTGTTCTGTGTTTACATGACAGTCAAACCATTTGGCCTTAAACGTCATTCTTTATGTCTTCTATTTTAAATACTTAGTTCACGCCAGAAAAGCTTTCTTTCCAGTGCTGTATGTTATTGCTTTAATTTATGCCATAATTAGCTTGGAAATTGGGTAAATAATAATATGTATATATATTATATATGTGTATATAATATATATATTTTCAAGTAGACTGACTTCATCATAATGTCTACTAAAATGTATTCTACTTTTTCTCTCTCTACTTAAGTATAATACTCATAGCTAAAATCTTATAGTAATCTAAAGCCTATTCCTATAGATAATAAATCTGAGACATCACACCTCTATCGTGGGAAAAGGAATACCAGCCATGTACAACTGGGAAAGTGGAGAGTAACTTAACACATCGTGGATAGTCATTGAGGCTCAGTCATTGAGAAGAATTCAGTGAAACACGGGATATCTGAAGAAAGGTTCAGCTACAGTCATCCCACCTACCCGCAGTCTAATAGATAAGAATTCAGTTTAGAGGAGGAAGTAGAAATATTCTTTCTCAGATCAACGTGAGAGTTGTAATAGGAGAGAAGATTTGTACCTTTCTTCTGCTGGCCTGTGATTCTTAGAACAAGAGGAAGCAACGGTTTTCCCGTTGTCGAGAATTTTAGCTCTTTGTTGATTTGAGCTGCTTTCAAATCACAGCCCCAATTATTAGCGGCTCCAAGCTTCCATCCCCGGCTACTGCATCCCTCAGCTACCGCCTGGTAAATGTGAAGGGCTTGGTCTCCGTGTTCTGTTTCACATTCGTGGAATCGGAGTAACTAAATCTGCATGTGGCTTGCAGACAGCTTCTCCTCTCCCTTATTATAGTTGGCTGCGAAGCTCCAATAATAAACATTTAACAAGTGGAATGCCTTTTCCCTTTGGTCTTCTCAGCAGGCTTCACAAGGGACTACAGTTTATTTGGATTCAGGGGAACCAACTTCCACAGCGCTCAGTAGTGAGCCTTATGCAGGGCTGGTCACCCCCGTTGACTTTTCCCTTTTGGAAAAGAAGAGAAAATTATTTTAGCAAGTACTTTCTCTGCTCTCTGACTTGGCTCCCTCCAGGAGTACACGATGTGCTGTTTCAGTGGTCAGCAGTCAGTAAGGAAAGAAGTGAGGGATGCATAATTTGTTAACTGAGCAAAATAGTGTTCTGCTTAAAGTCAGTTCACCATGTCTCACAGCATGGGCAGATGCATTCAATGTTTTATATTCTATTTCTTATATAAGTCTATTTCTATTATATTTACATATTCTGTTTCTATATAGATAGAAGTGGTTAAAATAGGTGAGATCAATATATATATATATGCAGGCATATATTTACATACACTGAGATCTACATATACACTGTGATACATATTTATCACATATATGAACAGTATATCGATAAGTATGTAGCATATTGGACGGAGCTCCTTTTATTATGTTAAACTATATATGTTCTTAATTCTCTCTCTGTGTGCGTGAGTATGTGTACATGTAGCATATATACTAATGTTTCGTTTGGTATCATTTGAAGCTGAAAACAGTAAAAATTTTAACTCAGATACTATATTTATTTTTTAAGAAATAGATGTTAATATTTTAGAACAGTTTTAGATTTAAACAAAATTAGAATAATACAAACAGTTTTTGTATACTTTGCACCCATTTTCCTCTATTAACATCCTAAATCAGCACAATACTTCGTTACAGTTAATGAAATAATATTGATATAGTATCATTGACTGATATATACATGGTTGATTTAGATCAGTGATGGCGAACCTATGACACCCGTGTCAGAGGTGACACGCGAACTCATTTTTTTGGTTGATTTTTCTTTGTTAAATGGCATTTAAATATATAAAATAAATATCAAAAATATAAATCTTTGTTTTACTATGGTTGCAAATATCAAAAAATTTCTATATGTGACACGGCACCAGAGTTAAGTTAGGGTTTTTCAAAATACTGACATGCTGAGCTCAAAAGGTTCGCCATCGCTGATTTAGATGGTCTTTGTTTTTACTTGATGTCCCTTTTCTGTCCCAGGATCACATGACAGGTACCACATTATATTTAGGAGTCATATTTCCTTAGGTTCCTCTCGAATTTCCTTCTTTTTCTTTTTAATTTTCATGGAAAAACTTTATTATCTAAATAGGGAGCCATTACATTTTTTTTTTCAGTTCTAAGATGCTTAGAGTAAACTTAATGGTGTTTTTTTTTTTAATTTTGTTTTATTGCTTAAAGTATTACAAAGAGTATTACATGTCCCCTCCCCCCCAACTTTTCCCCCGTCTCCCCTACCCTCCAGTGTCTTGTGTCCATTGGTTATTGAATTTCCTTCTTTTTGATGACCGTGACAGTTCTGAGAAATACTGGTCAACTGTTTTCTAGGAAGCCCCTCTATTGGAATTTGCTGTTTATCTCACAATTATGTTTTCCCTTTGGGTTTTGTGGAGGAAGACCACAGCAATGAGGTTCCATTTTCTTAACATCATTTTAAGGGTACATGCTATCAATATTTATTTTTGAAAGTACCGTTCTCCTTTATTATGGAAAAAAAAAGAAAATACAGAGTGAGAAAACAAGAAAATTAAAAGCACTTATAATCTTACTTCAACTCCCATGAAGAAAACCTTTATTAACATTTTAGTATATAATGTCTTTTTAAAAAATCTGTTTTTATTGATTTTAGAGAATGAGAGGAAGGGAGAAGGAGAGAGAAACATTGATGTGAAAGAGAAACCTAGATTGGTTGCCTCCCACATGCACTCCAACTTGGGATCAAACCTGAAACCTGGGCATGTGCCCTGACCAAGAATCCAGCTGGTGACCTTTCAGTGCCTGGGACGATGCTCAGCCAACTGAGCCACACTGGCCAAGGCACATTTTGGTATATAAGTTCCACATCGATTTTGATGTTTCTAAGAGATAAAATAATGTAAACTATAGTTTTATAATGTGCCTTAATACATTCTGAAATCTTTAGTCAGTAGATATTGTTATATACTAGAGGCCTGGTGCATGAAATTCGTGCACTGGGTAGGGTCCCTAGGCCTGGCCAGCAATCAGAGCCGATCTGTAGGGCGACTGGTGGGGTGATTGGGGGGCCCCCACTGACACCCACCTTGGCCGGCCTGTTGCTGCCTGTTCCCCGGCCCTGGCCCCTGCCACCGCCGCTGGTTGCCTCCCTCTGTGGGGTGATCGGGGGACCCCCACTGGCACCTGCCTTGGCTGGCCTGGGGCCTGAGGGCTGGGGGCAGCTCCTGCATTGAGTGTCTGCCCCGCTGGTGGTCAGTGCACTTCATAGCGACTGGTTGTTCCACCGGTCATTCCACTATTTGGTCAATTTGCATATTAGGCTTTTATTATATAGGATATTTACTAATGGATATGTGGATGAGTGTAATATATTTTAGTTAGTGACACAATGTTTAAAAAATTGTAAATAATACATTATTATTACAAGCATCCTTGTAGCCAAGTCTTTTTCACATCTTTGAGTATTTCCTTAAGATGTGGAGGAATATTCTTGCTAAAGGATTTGCACATTATGTGAGGCCTTTGATACATGTTGCCAAGTAGCCCTGTAGTTTGCATTGTTTCCCACATCCTGACAGTACCTATTTCTATGTACCTAGCCAGTGTTGAAAGTTATCATTTTTCCTGTTTAAAATTTTGTTGGTGGTATTTTTCTAGTGTTTTTATAGTCTAGTTTACTTTTTAAACCTTTTAAAATTGTGAAGTACAACACATAAAGAAGAGTGCATTAAGCATAAACTTAATGAATGATTTTAAAGCGAATACCCATGGAACCACTGCCCAGGTCTAGAAACTGCTCACAGTCCTCTTTCCAGTCACAGCCTGGAGAGTAGCTGCTATTTTGACTCTTACGGCAATCATTTTCTGTTTCTGTTTATTGTTGTTATCCTTTCAAGACCTAATATTCATACCTAAACACTATAGATTGGGTTTGCCTTCATACGAATGGAACTCATATAGTGTTTGTGCTTGTTTGTTTTCTTCTACAGTTTTGTTTATATATTTCACAAACCATAAAATTTACCAATTTTAAGGTACAGTCAGTGGTTTTTAGTATAGTCACAGAGTTGTGCAACCATCACCATAACCAAATTTTAGAACATTTTAATATCCCCCCCACCTAAAACCCTATACCAGTGATGGCGAACCTATAACACGCGTGTCAGAGGTGACACACGAACTCATTTTTTTGGTTGATTTTTCTTTGTTAAATGGCATTTAAATATATAAAGTAAATATCAAAAATATAAATCTTTGTTTTACTATGGTTGCAAATGTCAAAAAATTTCTATATGTGACACGGCACCAGAGATAAGTTAGGGTTTTTCAAAAAGCTGACACGCCAAGCTCAAAAGGTTCATTACCAGTTATTCTCCATTACCCCTTCCTGCCCACACAGCTCTAGGCAACCATATTATGATTTTTTTTTGTCTCTGTAAGTCCAATTTGGATCTTTTTTATGTCTTACATTTCTATCCTCATCATGTTTGATTTTTTTCTACCTTCTTAAACATATGGTATATTTAATTAATTCTATTGCGTGTGTCATTTCTGGTTCATTTTCTATTGATTGATTTATCTCCTTGTTATTTTCTTTCCCGCTTATCTGTGTGCCTGGTAAATTTTGATTGGTGTTGGACACTTAAACTTTTGTATTTTAGAAGTTGGATTTTACTGTATATTTTAAAATACTGTCATTTTTTCCCTGTGACACAGTTAAGTTACCTGGAATTCACTTTATCCTTTTGAGGCTATTTTATAGGTTTTGTGAGATTAGGTTTAGAGCAGCCTTTAATCTGGGGCTTATTTGGCCCCATTACTCAGGCAATATTTGATGCTCTGAATTCGGAGGTCTACCCACTATGGCTCATTGGAATGCAAATACTTCCCCTCTGTGCTTTTCCTCGTCTTGAGGTAACTTCCTCACATTTGTATGTAGAGCTCTGGAGCTCTCTTTCTTTCTTTTTTTTAATTTTTTATTACAAAGGGTATTACATATGTGTCCATTTTTCCCCCCCGCCCTAGACAGTCCCCTAGCCTCCCCTATCCCCCAGTGTCTTATGTCCATTGGTTATGCTTATATGCATGCATACAAGTCCTTTGGTTGATTGGAGCTCTCTTTCTCTGTGACTTTCTTTTCCTCCTCAAATTTTAGCCATTTTGTCCTCCCCAAACTGAGGTCCTTGCAACTCAGTGAGATTGCTGGGTCCTGTTTGGGTTCACTCTCCCTGTGCTCCACCCTGGAGGATGCAGGCAGGAAGTGGTGGCAGCCTAGGGCTACCTCCCCTTATCTGCTCTTCTTTTCTCAGGGATCACCGTGCTATGCTGCCAATTGCCTAACGACCAAAAATCATTGCTTCATATATTTTAGTTGGTTTTCCAGTTTTTTAAGGTGGGAAGATAAATCTGGTTCTTTTAATCCATTATAAGAAGGAGCAGAAATTCTCATTGCAGCTTTGAAATTTATTGAAACTAAAATTGGGATTAAATGGCTTTTATTCTTCTTATTTTTTTCCAGTTGTTCAGATATCCACTTAGACTTGTGTTTTAGTAAACGGGATACAGAAATTGTAGATTAGGATGACTTGTGTTTACTGTTTTTTCCTCCTTTGTTTTGTTGTATTTCTCCCGAAGTCCTAAAGGACACACATATAGGCATATACCTCGTGCAGCTTATCAAAAACAAAAGCACGTGCCCTATTGAAGTCCCTGTGGCTGACCTTGCAATGGGGCAGCAGGACTAAGCTTAGGAATGGTCCTCCTAGGAATAAATGTATTCCTGTATTTGGAGACGTAGCCAAAGTGGCCTTGTGTCTGACAAAGGTTAAAATTGCTTTTAAAATACTGGCATAGGATTGTATAGGTCACAACACATGGCCACCATTGCAGTTTGTAGCTTTTTTTTTTGATTTAATAAAATTTAATATAACAACCATCTAGTCATCAGAATAGTCAAATAATTGATACATTATTTAGAAAGTATTTCAGGGTTCGCCTTCAGGTTGTAGCTTTTAAGGAATAACCATGCTTGATCCGTTACTTGATTTAATTTTAAACATGGCAATTTCTCCGTTAGCATGGTCCAGCAGGAAGACCCAGATAAGGAGCTTTCCAATGATGAGGTGATCCTGAGGCTGAAAGCACAAGTGCAGCGTTTGCTGGGCAGCAACTCCGTGAAGCGCCACCTGGTGTCTCAGCTGCAGAGTGACCTCAAAGGCTGTCGGAAGAAAATCGAAGACCTACAGCAAGGGGAGAGGGATGTAGAAAGCATCGCGGTCCAGGTTCGTAGAGTTTGTAGAGCTAAAATGCCATTTTTAAAGAGCTCAGTAAAGAAAATGCTTACAATTTTCACAGTTAAGTTAAACCTTTGTCTTTCAGGGGTTCATTTTACTTTCTTAGAAGTAGAATTTAGAGAAGGGAATGCCACTTAAAGGAATACATTTTCTGGTTACTCTCGGCATCTGAGATGCTAATTAGATAATTTTTTTTTAAAATCACAAATCCAAGGAAGCATCCATCCTATGTAACTCGGTATCTGCATTTCCTCAAGATTGGCTCATACCACCATGCACTAACATCTAGCTAAGTTCCCCACTTAGCATGGTGTCCGTCACATTTCTCTGGCCCATATTTCTGTAATGAAAGTCATTCCATATAAGGAAATGAATTATGCAGTGATGGTGTTACAGGGGGAGAGGCACAGAATCAGGTTCTGTCGGAGTCACTAATCTGCCTTTATATCTTCAGTTACTCTCCTTACTTTATAGATGAGGGAAGGAAGCTGGAGCAGTTAGTGACCCTTCTGAGGTGACAGAGTCAACCTTGAAGCACAATGAAATTAAAACACTCGAATGACAAATAGGTGGAGGTTATTTCCCCAAGGTCGTGCTCTCACGGAGATCTTTAGGGTTGCCCTCCATGGATAGCTGCCTTTTTCACATTTTACAAGTTCAAGCCCATGTGTACTCCCAATAGAAAACAAGGTGGAGAGACCTAGCAACTAACGGGAAAGGGAAGGAGGAAGATTAATGTAGATGGTGTATTCTTTTTCCTCCTGGATGGAAAACTTTTTTTACTTCCTATGTTAGTACTGTTTTATCTCCTGATCCATTAAACTAGGAACTGTGTTCATTAAAACAGTCCTATTAACACACGGTTTGCAGGATGTTCTATGGTTCTAAATTATTGTGGAAATTTAATTGGTTCTAATTTATTTTCTAGAAATAATAGTGTTCTTCCTGTTAAAGGCCTGCCCAGTCTGGTTCCCTCTTCTGAGTAACTATATTTGATGAGTACAACATCGATTTCAGTGTTAACGACCACATGTGAAAGACCCCCTTCTCCGCAGAACATCCAGTGTCTGTAAATCAAGCTGTTTGAACTGTTTCCATGTTTCTTAAAGAGGATGGGAGTGAAAGTTGGTATCTCAAATTGTGTTAGATCAGAGTGAATTAGTTTACACTTTCTGGTGAGAGTACCCTAACATTTAGGAGAGTAGGAACCTGTTTTTGAGTCTGAACCTGAGCTCAGGTATCGTGATGCTTTTTTTGTTTTCTATTGAAATTACTGGTGGCATTGGTCAGACAGGTACACTTTCACATGTGTGGCAGTGATGGTGGTCATGGCCTATGTTGTTTTTCTGTTTTAGCCTTTCCTTTACCTCTGTAGTCTAGTTGATCAATAAGTTGAAGGGGGCTACCTCCTCTTTGAATATTCCTTTTGTCCAGCTTCTCTTTTGCCATAGTCATTTCCTAGTAGTCTGCATTTGGTTTTTCTTTCTTTTTTTCCCTCACCCAAGGATATGTTTTGATTTTTGAGAGAGAGAAAGAGAGAGAGAGAGAGAGAGAGAGAGAGAGAGAGAGAGCGAGAGAGGAGAGAGAACAAGAGAAAGAAAGGAAGAAAGAAAGAGTAAGGAAGAGAAACATCAATGTGAAAGAGAAACATCAATCAGTTGCCTTCCGTATGTGCCCTGACTGGGGATTGAACCCAAAACCTTTTTGTGTGTGGGTGGTATTCCAACTAACAGAGCCACCCGGTCAGGGCTGCATTTTGTGTGTGTGTGTGTGTGTGTGTGTGTGTTTTAAGTGTGACTTTAGCCCTTGCTGCTATGTCTGTTCTGCCTCAACTTACTATATAGGAAATTCTTATGAGTTGATAATTCTCTGCATATTTTCTCAATAAATATTTGTTGAATTCATACAACATCTAGGATCTACTTCCTAGAGGGGGGAATGGGAGAGGATACAGTAATTTAACCAGTGGGTGGTTTTTTTAAGTAAACTCTCAAGTTCAGTCATCTAATTAGCCCATGGACACCTTCAAGTCTTGCCTTTGTCACGCATTTCCCACATCTTTTCTAATAGTAGAGTTTTCTATTTAGTCTTTAAAGTCAGAAAGCAGGGTTGGGAGGCACATGGAGAAAGGACAAATCATTCAGTGTCAACTTGTTTTTTAAAGGTGCTTTGTGCAAGGTCTTGTGGGATTCAATGATAAAAGAAACAATGGCCATTTCCTAAAGGAACTTTGAATCTAGAATAGCACTGTCCAAGAGAAATACAGTAGAGTCTTAAAATCTAGTACTGTCCTTAAAGTAAAAGTAATAAGTGAAGTTAATTTTATTAATATATTTTATTTAACCCAACATATACAAAATATTCTCAATATTAGTCAGCATAAAATTGTTATAAGGTGGTCTGCATTTTTGTGTGTCTGTGCTAAGTCCCTGAAAACTGTATTTTTGACTTAACTGCACATTTCAGTCTGGACCAGCCACCTGGCCAGGGTCCATAAGCACCAGTGTCCATAAGCACACGTGGGTTAGTGGCTGCACATTCAGCAATGCAGGTCTGCAGTGGATGGGCACCTATAACTGTGTAATAAGGGTGGTACTGGTCACAAAGTGCCAGGAGAAGGAATGACCACCTGGGCTTGGCCGGGGTGGGGGGGTGGTCAGGCAGCCTAGCGAAGTCTTTGAGGAGGCCATGCTGGGTCTCTGTCCTGAAGGATAAATCGAGGAGAGCCAGGTGGGAAGGGACATTTCAGCCTGGAACAGAAGTTAATAAAAGAATGTAGCAAATAAGCTGGTGTAACTGGAGCGAGGAGGGCATGGGAATAGAATCCATATTGTGTAAGCTCAGTATTTCTGAAATCATTAATGAGGCCAAAACCATTTAGGTGTCTCATTGATTTCCAGAAAGAATGGTTATAGCTGGGATATAATGTTGAACTCCTGTGCTTGCTGTAGGGATGTTACGAGAAATAACACATCAATTTAAACTTGTGTGGATGTGTTCTTAAAGATAACTAGGCCATCAAAATTCTCTCCTTAAAGCTTTTGTAAGAATTAAGAAAGCCAGCAAAAATTTTTATGTATGTAGTCTTTAAAAATTTTTTTTAAATTTCTTGATTTGAGAGAGAAGAGAGAGAGAGAGAGAGCGCAAGAGAGAAATATTAATTTGTTGTTCCACTTACTTATGCATTTATTGGTTGATTTTTGTATGTGCAGGGTGACACAATACCCCACATGCGGGGATTGAACCCACAACCTTGGTGTATCAGGACAATGCTCTAACCAACTGAGCCTACCTGGCCAGGGCTACGTATGCTGTCTTATTTGGCATTTTTTAAATGAACATTATAAAGGTCTTGATATATTTATTGCATTATACATACCTTGTAGTACATTTTATGTTGGTTTATATCCCTCATGCAGAACAAATTAATATTATGATAGAGAATCAGTATTTTGCTTTCCAATCATATGACTATCTAAAGCGGTGCTGTTTTCTGGCATTCCTAGGATAATAGGTGATGAACGTTAGGAGTCTGCCCATCCATAGCACTGTGTAATGATTGGGAATGGATCCGATACTTTGCTGATCATTCCAGTTGAAAACTGGGCTGTTAAGGTAGAATGTGGTCAAGGCCTTAGGAAACCAGACTCCTCACTAACAGTCAGGGTCTGCACCTGCACTTAACATTCTGTAAGCATAATATGTAAAACAGAGAGCCTTTCTGTGCCTGACACTCAATAGAGACCGTTACCTCACCGCATGTTGTGGTGAAAGCCGTACTTTGATTCCAAGGTATTTGATAGGCAGTGTTTGATAGCCAACCTAGAAGGTTCCTCATTAGAATCTTTTAGGAATTAGGAAGATAGTACAAGAGTTGGTGTACTATTATAGTTCTTGTTTTCTTGAAGATAATGTCTTCAGAATTCCACCTTTAGAAAGAGATTTTATTGTGCCATTTATGTGGTCCTTCTCTTTTTCAAGATGTTTGTAAGGGTTTTGTGCTGACAAGTGCAGGTATCTAGGCCCTGTGTGCCTGCAGTGTGAAAATAGGTCAAAACTGTGTAATAGCTATGAAAGAATTTTTTTTTTAGTGTATCTGCATATTCCATTTCTAGTAATAAAAACTTACCAGTGGGGAAGGAAGCACAAATGAATATCAAAACTTTAAAAAGTAGGGGCCAGCCTTGGCTGGGTAGCTTGGTTGGTTGGAGCATCCTCCCCATACAACAAAAGGATGTGGGTTCAATTCCTGGTCAGGGCACATAACCCAGGTTGTAGGTTCATTCCCTGGTTTGGGTGCATTCAGGAGGCAACAGATCGATGTTTCTTTCTCACGTTGATGTTTCTCTCTCTCAAATCAATAAAAAAAAAAACAAACGTATCTTGGGTGATGGTAAAAAAAAAAACTGGAGGCCAGGTTAAAAAATTGAAAGCCATTCTCCTGAGACAGAGCTCTTTTTAAGTGTCATTAGTATCCCCAAATCTGGAGAGAAGCTAACAGAATAAGCAGTCTTAGCTACTTTCTCTGCCAACTGGGGTAGGGGCAATGGCTTCTGGGAAATGATGGCAAGTGAAAAGGGGAAAGTCAGCAACTAAGCAGCTTCCCTCTGAAAGTGAAGGCTCTGTGAATTGGAAGACTGAGCCAAAGCCTTGGTGTTTGTCACCCCACCTGGAAATGAGATATACATACCTTCCCCTCCCCAATGAGAAGAATGAACCTTGGTACATGATATTTTTTAAGCATTGTGTAAGAGAGCTCAGAGTTCAGGTAAATACATAAATCAACAAGCCTAATAATGTAGGTTTTATTTTTTTTTCAACCTTTGTACCCCTCAGTGAATAAAAAAGTCATAAATAGCCTGGTTGCATTATGATTTGAAAGTCATATGGTTATGTGGCTCAGTTGGTTGAGCATCATTCCATGCACTAGGAGGTCGCCAGTTCCATTCCCGGTCAGGGCACACGCCTGGGTTGCAGGCTCGATTGCCAGTGCAGGAGGCAGCCAATCGATGTTTCTTTCTCATCGATGTTTCTGTGTCTCCCTCTCCCTTCTTTTCTGAAATCATTTAAAAAATATCAGAAAAAGAACTCATGAAAATAAATACGGAAGACATTTAGATGGTGAGAGGAAAACGTGCAGTCATGTAAAGAGACAAACTTGGGAAGATGTAAAACAAATGAACAATGAAGGGATGTAAGAGGTTCCACTCTGATGGCAATACAAGGAATGCCAATGGAAGCCATTGTTAGATACCCTTTCCCCCATCAAATACAACCATTATTTAAAGATAGTCACTGCCATTGGAGGTAAAGAGAGTTGGACAAAGTCATGAGAGTATACATTTGTACAAACTTTCTGGAAAAAATTTGCCAAAGCCTATCATAAGCCTTAAAAATTGTTCCTGTTGAGTAAAATATGCATCTATGAGTTAATACTGGTTATATAAATAAATGCTAAATTTAATGGGTGAAAGTATGATGAAAAATAAAATATTTGCATAGTCTCGAAGTATCTCCTTACAAAGTACTTATTAATTGTAAGCGGAAAAATAGTAACTTTTCAGTGAAGGTACTTGCAGACACTCCCTTGATCAATTGATCATCACCAGTGACGAGACTATTGGTATCGTGGCTCCCATGAAAAGCATGCACATCATTGCTGTGGCATTCATGCCAAAAATGCATAACCTGAATTTACTAATGAAGTAACATCAGAAAAAAACAAAAATGGAGGGCCATGCTACAAAATAATTGGTTAGTACTCAAAAATATCAGGAGTTTGAAGGTCAGAGACTGAGGAGCTGTCCTAGACTGGAGGAGACCGATGAGATGTAACAACTACGTAAGTGCAGTGGGGGATCATAGATTGGATCCTGAGCCAGAAAAGGACATTAGAGGAAAATCAGAAAATTTTGTAGATTAGTTAATAGTATTGTGTCCTAGTCAATGTCCTGGTTTTGATCATTGTACTGTGGTTATATTTGGGGACATGGTAAAAGGTATATGGAAATCATTTGTACTGTTTCTGCAATTTCTTTGTGTGACATTATTTCAAAACTAGAGACCCAGTGCACAAAATTCGTGCATGGGTAGGTAGGGTCCCTAGGCCTGGCCAGCGATCAGGGCTGGTCAGGTTCCCCGCCTCTCCACCTCCCCGCCTCCTCCTTCCCTTGCTTCCTCAGCGCCTTGCCACCGCTGCTGGTTGCCTGCCATGTTCCTCATCACCCCCTGGTGGTCAGCGCACTTCATAGCGAGAGATTGAACTCCCAGTCTCCCGGTTGAACTCCTGAGGGGACACTTTGCATATTAGCTTTTTATATAGATAGATAAGTACTTAGACTTTTTTAAGAACCTGAAAAATGTTTGACTTTTTTTTAAACATTTAGACTAAAACAGATGCCTCTTCTACTTCTGAATTGATTGTCAAAGATGATATGCTGCGACTTGAAAACGAAATTCAAGTTTTGCAACAACAAAATCAGGTAATTAAAAATTTAAAAAATATTTTGTGAGAATTTCCATGGCTTCATTAAATGCAAAAATACGGAGGCAATGTGGGTTAGTAGATAAGGATATTAGTAGGTGATTGAGGATTCCAGTTATTTCCCATTAGTGTTGGTCACAGGGTAGTAGTTTCATTAGAAAGTAAGTTAGTGTAAATCCAGTTTTCTGTCTGTACAGTAGCTTGGCTAATAGAGGTGTTCTTTCCTCCTTAGCCGGCCCTTGATCAAAAAGTAAAACTTTGTTTATTTAAAAGGCTACTGAAGATTGTTAATTTTAAGACTTATTTTAAGACATCAATTAGCCAATACTTCTCTGGTTAAGTGTTTTCATTTCATATATTTCAAATAAAATACAAAATTTAAATTTTTACTCCTTAGGGAAAGCTCCCTGTCAATGAAATGATTCTGTACTCTTATCAAAGCATGAAGAGACTTTTGTGGAATTATGAAAATGCTATGTCAGATAATGTTACAGGGTAGAGATAAAGTACAGAGGATGTTTAAAAATGAGATTAATCATTGAAAATGATGTTTATTTCCAACAAACACTTTATTCTTTTATATGTAGGCACTAAAAGAAATGGAAGAAAAACTGAGAAATACAAATCAGGAGTTATGCAATCAAATGAGACAAATGGTACAAGATTTTGACCGTGATAAACAAGAAACTATTGATAGGTAAAGTCTATAAAGTCTATATAATGCCTGCCTCCTGGACACCCTCCCCATTTGTTTTCCCCTCATCTTCCTCCCCTCCCACACCCCCCTAAAAAAGATTCGAGAGAAATGATGGAGTGACCCCTCCCTATTGAGACCTTAGCTTGGAGAAGACGAGTCCCTGGCTTCTCAAATTAGAATTTGGAACCCATTTTCCATAGAAGTGATGTTAGGTGGTGTGTTGGGTTCTATAGCACCATCAAATGGTGGTTCATTGAAATGGGATAGCGTAATGATGTTTTAAAGGCTGTTCTATATAAGGAAGAGATCTGTGAAAGGGCATGTCTTCCAAATACCAAATCATAAACTTGGAAACGGACTTTTGGAACGTAACTTACTTGTGAGTTTGGTACTACGAAGTATTTATGTTTAATGTAGATGACTTGCAATTTAGGAACCACACATACCCTCAGTTATTTCAATTCATTTTTTATAAACAAGTCCTCAACACAGACTGTTCTCTCTGTGTGAAGGACATCCTCAATCCAAGTTACTAATTCTTTTTCTGGAAACATTTGAGGAAAGAAAAATTTGAAGATTCTTATGATACAGTGAAATTAATCATTACCATTTTTGGTTGGGGACAACCAATGTGACCTTAATTATCATGTGCATTAGAGAAGAGTCAGGGAAAGGGAGGAAGGGAAACCAGTGGACTTGGGGTGTCTTGTGAAGCTGGGCACTGCCTTAGGTTCCGCTGGCCGCCTTGTTCGCAGGTGTGAGAGGACTTACCAGCAGCACCATGAAGCCGTGAAAGCCCAGATTCGCGAGAGCCTGTTAGCGAAGCATGCTGTGGAGAAGCAGCAGCTCTTTGAGGTCTATGAGGGGACTCGCTTGCAACTTAGGTGAGAATAAAACAGTTTAGCTGCCTTCGAAGCTGGAAGACAGCACTCTCCTATTTCCTATTTTAGAGAACATTGTCCTGCAGCCCTTGTATTTTTTTTTTTTTGTGGTCATTTAGCTGCTGGTTTTGTGTATCCAAGGTCTGAACTGGATAAGATGAATAAGGAGATGGCCGCTGTGCAGGAGTGTTACCTGGAAGTGTGCAGAGAGAAGGATAACCTAGAATCAACTCTCAGGAAGACCATCGAAAAGGAGCAGCAGATGCAGGAGAAGGTACAGCACAAGTTCATACCCTGTTTCCTTCAGTTGATTCCCCCGGCCTCACTGTTTCATTGAAACCAGTACACTTGTTCTCCTGTGCGGGAGGAAGGCATACGTGGACGTCTCTTTTGGCGATTTCACACTAATATAGTTCACATCATTCTCTTAAGTGTTGAGATGATTATTAAGATCTTAGTAGAAACTGGCCTACATATAGGAGAAAGTCATTCTTCTGTATCGATCTTTTCCTAAGAGACAAAAAGAGTTCTGAAAATAGGAGTGGACCTGAGCCACTTTGAGTCTGAAACCTGAGATCCTCATTTTGCATTTGCTTGTGGGCTGCTCAGGCGATCCTAACCAGTCCCCTGAGCCCGGTACAGAGTATTCCTTCAGGGGCATTTTGCTCCGGCCCATTTCTCCGCCAGTGTCGGAGCATTGTTGCATTCTGGAGGGGGCTCAGTGGTCACTTGAATTTGGGTTTCATGACAGGGAAGGGGGTGGCATGGAGGCTGTGGAGAGAAAGGTCAGTGTCAGTGTGGCCTCTCGGAAATGGGGGGGGCTACCGTGTGCTCTGCTCCTCCCTGGCTCTTCCAAGCGGCCATTGCTGAGTGTCCAGAGTCCGATCGCGTGGAAAGAGGGGCACCTCTTCTTTTCTTCCCTGTCCTCAGAGTCTCATCCAGACACAAGTCTCACTCCCACTTTGGACCAGGTATAGACTACAGTTTGAAAGCCACCTGCATCTAGATTAGAAAATATTTTTAAAGGCCTGAGTAAGTGTTCTAAACAGAAGCTTTAGAATAAGTCACATGAAAGCAAGGCCTTGCTACCACAGACTTAAAAAGAACAGTAAAGAGCAGGTGAGGAACTCAAATATTTTGATTACTTTTGAGTAGGTTAATAAAAACATAAAAAACATGTCATGTATAATTCTAAAGGGAGCTGTTTAAGTTAGTACTGGAAGTGTAAAAGTTAGAAGGGATCTTAAATTACCTAGAAGTTGAAAACGTAGCTTTTAGTAATGTTATAAAAATTAAAATAGATCTCTACTGTGATTCTTTTTTTATTCTTTCTTAAAAAATATATATATACATATATATGATCAATGGCAAGAGCATAAGATCAATTCTCTCAAAGAAGTAATTCTTTTCAGGAATATATTTTATGGTACTTTAAAAAGAATCAATTTGGCCCTGGCCAGGTGGCTCAGTTGGTTGGAATGTTGTTCCATACAACAAAAGGTTGCGGTTTCCATCCCTGGTCAGGGCACATGTTTAGTTTGCAGGTTTGAACCCCAGTCAGGGTGAGTGCAGGAGGCAACTAATTGATGTCTCTCTCTCTCTCTCTCTCTCTCTCTCTCCCTCTCCCTCTCCCTCTGTCTCTCTCTTTCTCTCCTTTCCTCTCTAAAATCAATGAAGACATACCCTCAGGTGAGCATTTAAAACAAAAAGGAATCAATTTGGCTGTAAAATTGGACCTCATATAATTGGCCAGTTGCAATTTATAGCTGCTGCAGACTGGTACTTGGGCTCTTGAGTGCTTGCACTGGGGCAGGAAGAAAAGTCAAAACTGTTATTTGGCCCTTCTGAAGACACTTACAGGTTAATTTTTTTTCTTTACAATTGAAAAATTGAAAAAAAAAAATCGAAAAATTGTCCTACAGTAAAATTGACTCATTTTTAAATTTGGTATACCGTTCTACACATTTTAACACATGTAGTTTGATCAGGATACAGAGCAGTTTCATCATCCTAAAAAAGTCCTTTGTGCTATCTGTCCCTTTGTAGTTACACCCTGTCCCCCACACACACTTAAAGGGCCAGTGTACTTAGAGCATGAAAAGTTTAATTCCTTCCTTCTCTTTATATAAATATAAATATAAATATAAATGTAAATATAAATATAAATATAAATATAAATATATATGTATCCTACACTAATAAAGACAAACATGCAAATTGACTGTACTTTCGCTATGCCTTAAGCCATGCCCACCAACCAATAAGAGCGACTATATGCAAATTAACCCAACCAAGATGGCAGCCGGCAGCCGGGGCCCCAGGGAGGACCCCCCACTCTAACGGGGGTGTGGCTAGCCTGAAAACAGCCATCAGCCCCTCACCCAGGCTGGCCAAACCTCCATGGGGTGAGGGTCCCCACTGGGGTGGACATCCTCCGAGGGGTCCCACACTGCAAGAGGGCATAGGCCGGGCTGAGGGACCCCCCGAGTGCACAAATTTTTGTGCACCGGGCCTCTAATATATATATATTCTTTATATGGCTTAGGAGTCTTTCTAAGCCAGTCAGAACAGCATTTCTTTAAATTTAAGAGACTTTATTTTGTATCCTCCAGAGGTAGATAAAGATATACCAAACTGTTTTCCTATTATGTATATACATATACATACATATATATGTGCGTATATACATATACTTTAATGTATTTTTATTGATTTCAGAGAGGAAGGGAGAGGGAGAGAGAGATAGAAACATCAATGATGAAAGAGAATCATTGATTGGCTGCCTCCTGCACGCCCCCTACTGGGGATCGAGCCCACAACTTGGGCATGTGCCCTTGACTGGAATTGAACCTGGGACCCTTCAGTCCGCGGGCTGACGCTCTATCCACTGAGCCAAACCAACCTGGGCCTATGATATATTTCACACTCATACAATGGAAGAATGATATTAGACTCTGGAAAAAAGTAAGTAACTTTTTGGGTATTTCCTATGGCTGAGCTTCAGGACAGGGACTTAGTCTGGATACAGAATTTAAAAGACAGTCAAAACCAGGAGTCCAAAGTTTCATATGTGCTGTGTTCTGAAACAGTTGTTGAGTCTAGCTGGGGGTTAAGTAGGAGCTGAATTCCAAGTTCTAAAGCTGTTATTGACACAGAACTTTCCTCATGTTAACCTGGATTGTTCAGAGAAAGGGAAAAAAAGTCATGTACACAGAACCCTTCAGACTCATAGACAAGGCAGAGATGTTCATTAGTCCCATTCATAATGCCATACCTGTACACATTAAGGCTCATATATCTAAATCTATATATATATCTATAAAGAGGTAATATGCAAATTAGGCCAGGATGCCGTAACGGGTCACGACTAGACAGGAGGAGGTTGTGTGCACAGGTGAAGGCCTGGAGCAGAGACAGAGATGGAGACAGACAGCGGGGCCTGCCCGAGCCAGCGTAGTGGCTCCGGTGGCCCTGAGCGGACACAGGCAGGGAGATCGGGGGGCGGGGGGGCCTGGGGTGGAAGTCAGGTGCAGGTCCTGGCTGCCCAAGGCGCCAGTCAGGCCTGACTCCCGCGGAGGCCTGGTGCTGCACAAGTCAGGCTTGGGTCCTGGCCCCCCGAGGGGTGCCTCCTCACACGGCGGGAGGTGAGGCACCTCCTTGCGCAATTTCGATCGTGTGCTGGGCCTCTAGTTTAGTTATAATACAGGTTAAGTCAGTCCTTACAAGTTAGAGGGATTTTTGCAGTTTGAACCATGCAAAATAAGTTTAAGTCCTTTAAAACTATCCAAATATTTCTTTCCCTTTAGTGGTACAACTTTCAGAATAGATATTTCTGTAATATCTTCAGATGGCGGATCCCTATACCCAATAAATCTACTATTTTTCCTCTGTGAAGAGAGGGAACAAGGTTTTTCTCACTGTGGTGAATTGCAGAAATGGCCAGACCTTCTTCCTACCCCTGAATGCATGCCCCATTGCAGAGTGATATTGTGGCTCTTCTCAATCAGAGGCAGAGACTCTTTCTCATCCTTGAATTTGACCTTGGCCACATGACTGACTTTGGCCATTGGGAAGCATTGATGCATTGAGGCTTTTGGAACCTTGGTGCTCTCAGGAACCCTGTGGCCACCACCATGTGAATGATCTGGGATAACCTGTTGGATGATGACACATGTGATCAAGTCATCGCCATTGCCCTTGCAGACATCACACTAACTACCAGACATGTGAGTGAGGCCAGCTTAGACCATGCAGCCCCAGTCGCCTGCAGAGACCAGCTGTATTGGCTTAGACCAGAATCAAGCCCTGGCTGACCCACAGAATGATGAAAAATAAGAGAGGTTTGTTGTTTTAAATCACTAAATTTTAGCTGGTTTATGAGGTAGCACAAAATTAACTGATATACCCCACAAACAGAGAAAATTGGTAGCAATTTTCTGCTGTGATTCAAAAGGAAATGCAGGTACAAATGGGAAAATCTCCTGAGGGATAGACATACACAGAGAGGAAAATTGGAGGAATTCTTCTATAGTCAAACAAAAAATAATCAGACAAAAAAATAATACCAGTGTTTTGTGATGCAGCATCAGACAACTTACTCACCTATGTGGTGCAGCTGCAAGTCCCCATGACCTGATTGTGAAGAAATGGGTCCCTTGGTCGCTGGAGATTTTCCAAAATCACAGAGCACTGAACAGACATAGAGATCATCTAGTCGGCATGTGCCAGTGGTGGGGAGGAATCAGATGGCATTTAAGACAGAACTAGTCTAGGTCAGTTGTGAACCAGAAAAGACCCAGACAACCATTGTGACAGAAGAGCTCCAATCCCAGGAGTGCCACACCATCCTTTGATAGTCCAAAAAAAAAACCCACACGGGGGACCAGAGAGGAAGGATGTAGCCTTTATTACTTACACGTGGAGAAGACCCCACGGCAGGAATGTTTCCGCCCTCGGCCAGGGTTAGGCCGGGGCTTACCTAGGAGAGGAGAGGGGGCAGGTGCCATGCTTGGAACAGCTTGCGTGCAGGCCGAGGACATACAGTCTGGTGAGACTTTTAGGCTGTCAAGGACAAGGCACCTGAGTCTGTGCTGCTCTGGTCCTTGTGGCTGCTGGCCAGGTGGACACCGTTCAACTGACTGAAATTAGGTTCATTAATTAGACGTGCAGAGTGCCTGCTTTGTGGAAAGCCTTATGTTCATGGGAAACACATATTAATAGCAAAAGTTTTCCCCTTCCTTTCTTCTCCCCTCTCCTTCCCTCCCTTCTCCCCCCTCCCATCTCCTCCCCTTCTTTCTCCCTCTCTCCATCTCTTCCTCTCTCCATTTCTCCCCCTGTTCCTTTCTTCCTATCATGTCATCTTGGAATCGGCAATGCCGAAGCCTCCAGCAGGTTGCATCTTGAGAGCAAGAAAGCCTGACCTTACACGACATACTTAAATTTTCCATGTGATTTATGTCACGTAGATAAGGTCAAAGAGTAATTTTCAGGAATTACTTGAGAACATATTTCCACAGACTTTATTTCCAAACCTCATGTAATTATCACAACAATGTCTAGATGGTTTTCAAACACAGCTGTGGCTGTCTTTTTGGCTATCCTAGTTTTCACTAATAATGATTTGAATATTTTCCTTCTCCTACGATTTTTCTTTTGAAAACAGATGAAAGAAGAACTTTTTCAACAGATTGAAAAGGAGTGGCAGGCTAAGCTGGCTCAAACTGCAAAGGCAATGAAAAAGACAACCTCTGACTGTTACAGCCAGACGGACCAGGTAGCCGCCAAAGATGCTGTTTCCCAGAAAGAGATGGCAATGGTGGCAGAAGGACAGGAGCAGGGGGCCCAGCAGGATCTAGAGCAGGAAAAGGAAAGAGCTATCAAGGCAGCCTTGAAGAAACTCGAGGTTGAATTGGAACTCAAATATTGTGAAAACATTGCCAAACAGGTAAATTATTGGAACTGCTTGTCTATTAGCAAAAGCCTATAAAATGCTATCATTGCACTGGTTCAGAACTTTATACTTTAAAATGTTTGTGCATTCTAGGGTAGAGGACTCCTATGCGGTTCCTAAAATTATCTTCATTATGTTTCTGTTATAAAAACGTTGCCCCTCGACATTTCTGTATATTCTTTCCATTGACAAAATGTTTGCTCCTCTGAGGTTACTCTGAGCATTCAGATAGCTGAGGTTAAAGACGGTGGTTTTACAGCTGAATTAAACACAATTTAATTAGGAACCTTTCCTGTCTGCCTGTATAGAAAACATTCCACCAACGTAGCTGTAGATAAGCAAACTTAAAGCGACAGTGTTTGTGTTGAGACTTGTGGAGTTGAATAAGCAGGGGCGTGATTTGTAAATCCCATCCTCTGCCCCAAAGTGGTGCCTTACCTCCCCTGGGACACACTCAGAAAGCTGTTCCACTTTTAACGGGCTTGTCCCTTCATTTCCAAGAACTGTCCCACCGAGAAAAGTACAGCTCTGTGTGCACAGAATAAAGATGAGCTGTTTGTTTTATCAATAACAGCACTTCTGGAATTTTTTGGTCTCAGGCTACCTTTACATAAGAAATTTTTCAAAAACATCTACTCTAGCACATATTCCATCGGCCGTGAGAGCAGCGACACCACCACATAGCGTGCTGCCCGGAGAATGATACTGTTTCAACGCGAGAGAACAAGAATAAAAAAGATGGAGAATGTCTGAATTCAATTATTTTGAAAGTGTTTTTGACCTCACGTACCATATGATAGGGTTTCTAGACCTTAGAAGTTCCTGGAACCTTTATATAATACTAGAGGCCCGGTGCACAAAAATTTGTGCACTCAGGGTAGGGGAGGGGGGTCCCTCAGCCCCACTTGTGCCCTCTCGCAGTCTGGGACCCCTCGGGAGATAACGACCTGCTGGCTTAGGCCCGCTCCTGGGTGGCAGAGGGCAGGCCCAATCCCTAGGTGCAGCCCCTGGTCGGGCTCAGAGCAGGGCTGATTGGGGAGTTGGGGCACCGCCCCCTGTCATGCACAGAGCAGGGCGGATCAGGAGGTTGCGATGCCACCCTCAGTCATGCTCAGGATAGGGCCGATTGGGGGGTTGGGGCCCCGCCCCCTGTCACACTCAAGGCAGGGTCGATGGGGAGGTTGCGGCGCCACCCCCTGTCATGCACAGAGCAGGGCCAATCAGGGGGTTGGGGCGCTGCCACTGTCACACTCAGGGCAGGGCCGATGGAGAGGTTATGGCTCTACCCCATCACACATAGAGCAGGGCCCATTAGGGACGGTTGGGGCGCCGCCCTCTATCACCCACAGAGCAGGGCTGATCAGGGGGTTGGGGCGCTGCCACTGTCACACTCAGGGCAGGGGCGATGGGGAGGGTA